CTGTACCATGCACCGTGTCACCTCCAGCCCTTTCTATAATCACTTATTTTATTCCTCAGTATAGCTGATAAAGCAGGGCAGGTGTCATTAACATATTTTGTATAAAACTGTGATATTGTTAAGGGGTCAAGGTGAATATTAAGTAACCGGACGCGCCAGATGGTTTGTTACACACAACCATCTGACAAGCCGTCATTGAAAACTGTTAGGAAAAGGGCCGGCACTTTCAAAAAAATACTTGGCAGGTGATTGGATGAACCATCTGTCAATCAAAATGATTGCCGAAGCCAGTCGAGGGATGAGCAAAAACACCTTTTCCATCGATTCTATGCTCTTCTTTCCATGAAGAAATATGCACCAGCTCTGATATAAAAGATGCTTTTGCAGCATCTACGCTCACCTAATGATGAGACGCCATTGTTGTTTTGAATCGTCACGTCACACACACACTTAAACCATATCCGTAGCTGCCAGTCGCTCTTCACAGGATGCTGATTGGTTAGGACACTGATGGTCTGGACACAAACGCATTACTTACAGCCTGACGAGATGGATCTTGGTGTGATCTCGTGCTCCTGTGAATTTTTTGAGAGTCTGGGGATTTTCTCCCTGGGCAAATTTAGTTTGCAGTTTACTTTATTATTTGTGTGCTACTTTTTTTCTTTTAAAGCTACTACATAAGTGCTTTTGATTATAACGTGTAGCTTTTTAAGCTTTTATGTTACAGGATCTTTGGCCTGTTTCTGCAGAGAACGCTCTGCAGAGAACTCTGTGTTCTGAGACAGAATTGCATTCTTACATTTTTTTATTTCTGTGTGTTCTCAAAGTACATTATTCTTTGCACTACACCTGTGCAGGGCTTGAATTGATATATATAATACTTTTTGAACATGATTGAATTGGAAAAAAAGTAATTATTTTGCTGAAGATTTGGTTTTACGTATAGCTATCAGGAGATACGAACTGAAACCGAATTGAAGGTAGATTTATACTTATAGGTATGTATCACTTTGAAGCTGCATGGTGGTGCCTTGATTTCTAAAGATATCAGAGCATATAAGGGACTATTGGTGTGAATGATGGAAGCATCAAAACATTTCAGCTCAATAGGGACATTTCTGCTTTTACTTTTCTCATTCATAACTTTAATATTTTCAGAAATATTTCACATATCATGGCAAAAAACCCCAAAAACTTTTAAATGAATGGAAGAAATGTTCAGAATTGAGGCCAGGTTTGGTCAAATTATTTACAATTGATATTCAGGTTTGGTCTGTTTGACCTGTGTGTGAATGTGTGATTTCAGCTGTTCGTCATACGCTCGCTGCTCGGGTCGGTCCAGACTTAAAAAACAATACGTCTTTCAGGTTTTGGTCGGACTCTCTTGGAAACTGGTCGGGTTGGCCCTATTTTAAGTTGTGTCACATCGATTCCAGTGAGCCAACATGCACAATAAAAGGGTCCAAATGGAACAGATCCACAATTAATGTTATTAATTAGACATGTGTTTACCCTGCAATATGTCAAAATGCTTGCTGTGAAAAGAGTCTATTACACCAGTTGTAGTTGCCTTTCATTGGCTACCTATCCATGTCAGACCAGACTTTAACTTTTAAATGTCCCTTCCTACCTGCCTGAGCTCCTTAAACTTTAAACCTAAACCCTATACCACTTTCACAAACCACATAGAGTAAATGTAATACAAATAAAGTCCCTAACAGCCACAGTATCTCAACAGGAAACTAGAAATGTACCTTGTTTTCACTGTAAAAGTGCTTAGACCTCACCTGACATTTAACTTCTTTCATTGGTTACTCTATATTTTGCATCCTTCATCCCTTTTCCACTTTTCCAACTATCCATACTGCTTCAGTTGCTTTTTCATACATTTTCAACTCTTATCTACTTATTCATGCTTTGTTCGAACATCGACATATTCCACATCACATATTATTGCTATTATTCAACTTTTAAAGCCAACAACGTAGAGTATAGCGTCAGCTTTTCAATGCATCACAATTTCTTCAGAAATCGTCTCTTCTAGTTACTGGTACTACCACTATAATAACACACATGTTAATGTCAGGCTGATGTGTCAGGTAAATGCTAAACAAGGTAGGAATGAACATAAAGAGGTGCATTATGTAAAATAGAAGCACTGTTGAATGTCATTTATCTCATCTGTGACTGAGTCCTATATCTCGCCTACTGTGGGTTTAATTTGACTCTTGTTCTGCTCCGAGAAACCCTAAACTTTGGCGTCCATCTCCGCCAGGCAGCTAAGACCCATAGCAGATGAGCTTTCTGAGTGCTGTTTCCGAGGTCACTTCTGTTTGTGCCCAAATGGATGTCTCGCTTGCCTGTTTCCCGATAAAGGGTCTGCTGTTTGTACCACTTCTGCTGACCTCACGGTGTGCGAATGCGGGACGATGGCGGGCATTGTAATATGTTGACAACCGCAAATTGAAAACAGCTGGGCCACACTGCAATCCTGCAATCTGGAGAATGGGACTAAATTATAGAGCAAATCCGGCTGACATTCACGTTGCTGCCAGTTCATGCTCTCTCTGTCGCTCTCTGCGTCACTGTTTGTTCTCTTTGCACAGCCCTGATGCAGAAAGCATGCGAATGTCCAATCAGTGAATAGGTAGTCTAGTCCAGTTCTAGACGTTTGTGGAGCCTAAAGATCAGATAGATGTGACCCTGTCAGCAGGACAACAACAAAGTCAGAGACTTAATGTAGCAACATCACGCTTCTTCCAGTAGTTCCTGGCCGAAGGCCACAAGTGCTGTGCATTTTAGCGATAAGAATATCAATACTTTAAATTAAAGGGGAATTATCATGAAAAACTCACTTGTTTAGTGCTTGTGCACATACATTTGGGTATCTACAGTGCCTACCAACTCACAATTTCTTTTTTGGCTCCCTTTCCTCTTTCACATGCAGGCTCGTTAGAATATACCGCCCTCCATCTGAGTCTCTCCACCCGCTGCTTGAGAACAACATTTGCAATGAAGAATTTTTCTCTCAAGCTTCAGAGGCTGAATGCAGGTATATTGAGACCGACTGTATGAAAAAAAAATGATGTGTTTTTTGAGCATGTTCTTGTGGAAACCCAAACTACAAATATGAAGCTGAGTTTGAGTATGATATGTCCCCTTTAAGGTTAATTCAAATATGTATTCATTTCACTTGGCTGGCTGTGGCTAGGAGACTTTGCACACAGCATATCTGCTGTGCTTAGTAGATAACTCCACCAATGATCTGGAAGAGACAGAGAATGCAGATGAACTAGACAACTGGATTTTGAGACGCTTAATTGTTTCCTTTTTACTTGTTAAAAGCCCAAAAGCCAGGAATTCTGTTGCCTTGCCGCTTTAACGGTTCTGGATCAGTGGTTACAGAATGCTGCTGTTGTCTACAGTCTAATTTTAGAGCGAGGAACAGTGACCAGCATCCCAACGCAGACATAACACCATCCCCGGTGTGGAACACACTTGTAAAGGCGGAGCAGGCGGTGCACGCTGTGTAACTGCCATAATCACGGAGCACGCGCTGCTGTTTTCTCCCCCTCACCAGTTTGTGTTGTTGATGCAGGTAACCCAGACAACCTGACAATGTACACAAATTAGAGGCAGGCAGGAGATGGCTGTGATTAATGGTTCTCAATAAGGACGGGGACCCAGAGGAGAGAGGGCTGGAGCATCGTGCTTATAAATCCCAGGGATTCTCTGAGGCAAGGAGGAGGTGGGAGGAAGGGAGGTCGATTTAGGGGGAGACACCCCAGGTGAATAGGGGGGGGGGGGGGGGGGGGGGGGGTTAGGAGGGAACAAATAAATATCACCAGGGAACTTCCTCAGTTGATTACTTACATGAAGACAATTACGTTTTGTAATTATCTTGAAAATGTCTCTTTATGCAAATGAGGCATTGTCATATTGTGTGCTAAGTTGCTTAAATTTCATCTTGTTGACATATTAGAGTCAATGGTTTTTACAGAGGGTATTTTTTCTTCATGTTTTAGGAGTTCAATGTTGCATAAATCTGGCTATAAATGATATATTAACAAATTCCTCAAACCTTTAGAATATAGACAATTATGAAACTGAAAGTTTGGGTATATTTAAGTGCTACTCAAGTGGAGATTTCTGGCTCAGAATATCAGAAGAACCAAATTTTGTGAAAACAGCCTTTTAAGACATTTTGCAATATTCAAAATGTAAAAGAAATGTTAAAGTACTAGACATCACCATGCAATTTGCCTATTTAATTACTTATATTAAGAAACTTATTTTTTTCTCTGAAATTGTATCGTTAAATATGAACACAAGGCATTATCTACAGACTCAAATAGACAAAGTAGTAAAATAAACACCTAAATGTGTGTAGGATGTTTTCTTTCCAGTAGTCTGAAATAAAACATATGGAAGCAAAATAGCTCCATATCTCAAAAGAGACCAGTGCATGTCTTTGCCTGTAGAGTTGAGCTGCGAGAAGCAAAGAGGAGATGCAGGACTCGTTTTTGTTGTTGTCCGTGCTATTATACACATTCTTAACACATATATATCCTTCAGGCTATGCAGATAATATAATCGGTTCTCCTTTGTCAGCTGCTGTGTTGTTAATAATCCCGTGGGACTGAGAATTCTTTGAATAATCTCTACTGTGACAAGTGAGAGCAGTCTACCTATCCATTACAGATAATTCCCATATCCTCCACCCACCAAGTTTCCTCTGAAAAGCCTTTTTCTCACCTCCGAAATTGAAAGTTTCTGTGGTCTGAGCGAGAGGGGGAACTTCACAGATTGATGGTTGAGGATATTCTCAAATGTTCGGTCTGCACTTCAGTTTAAAATACGTCGCTGATGAACGCGGATGCGTCCCACTTTTGACGCCCCGCGGGGACTGATTGGACGCATTCAAACGCTGTAAACGGGTCTGTTTGTGCACCGAGGGAACCCCCCTGCTCGTGTGATGTGGACCGTTCCTCCTTTCCTCCACATGCAGGCGAGGTGAGAGCGGTGCGCACAGCGCCAGACGGACCAGAGCGGGTGATAGTGTGGATACGCAGCAGAGCGCACGGCTGAGGACTCTGTACAGCGCAACTCCAACACAAATGGATATTTACGTGGCTTTGTTATACCTCTTCTTTTTTACAAAACCAGGTAAGAACACGCCGCGTGCCCCTCTTTTTGTATTATTATTTATATTATTTCTTTTTATTCATCGCAATGAGGACTTCTGCTGCGAGTGACGCGCGCTTCTTCGCGTCTTTTACCGCTTCCTCAGTTTGCACCTTGCGCGCGAGCGAGTCCGATTTGTTTTGGTAGTGTCTTCGGACTGCGGCGTATTGTTTTGTTTCCAATCACCTGCAGTTTGTTGAGTTGATATTTTAGAACAACCTGCATGCCGATAAGGTAAAAGAGATGTCACCTTTTTGTTTGTTTTACCTTGACGCGTGCGCACGTTGCACCTACAGCCCATGGAGAACACAGGTGTCGGCTGCGGACAGATACGATGCATATCAGTGGGCAGCATTAGCACAACTCTGCGTGTAGCCTAAATGAAAACAGCCACAGTCATTTTAAGCAGTGACCCTGTCTGTTTGTAAAATGATTTAGAACCCGCTTTAATCCTCTCTGCAGGCTGTTAACACCTCTCATCCTCATAACCTTGACTTCTCTCCCGCAGCTCTGGCTTTCGGATCCGATCCAGACTACCAGATTGATATCATCAATGAACTTGACCTGGCAAATGCCACCTATGGAATTACCCAAGTGGCGGGGCTCCACAACAGCACCAAAGCCTTCCTGTTTCGAGGTAACGCACGCACGCACGCTTCACAATCTCCTTTCCTCGTTAGTCGGCCTGCTCAAGTTCTGAAAACGTCTTTGTCTCCACTGTGTCACGGCTTCCTCGCACGCACGCCCTTTGTTTCGTTTGTTAGTTAGTGCGGGCAAAGCCACGCAGCGCCACACCTTTTGGTGTCACAGTGTTAGCCGGGATGCTGACGGGGACCACTCCGGGGAGCCTCCTCTCATAATTAACTCCACATTTAATTTGTCCCAGGCAGCAGATGCTCGGGCTCTTTCTGGACACACTCGAGCGCTCATGTCTGTGAAGGAATTCCACAGCACTGTTTCCAGTGTTGTTTGATCCCAACAACTGGTGGTTAATGGACGTCAGGTGCGAGGAACCTGAAGGGCACGCAGCGGTTTAGTCCCACAAAGAAAAACAACATCACTATCGTATAATAAATGATGAAAGTCAAAGCCATAAGTCCCAATGGTTGATGTTGAGGGTGAGGTGCGTTCAAAGTGTCAGAAGACAACTTTGCTTTGCTCACTGGCTTCTCTGCACTCTCTGAGAAGGACGCACAGTATTCGGAGGAGCCGCTTTAAGCAGAGGAGGAATTGTTCGGGAGTTGAAGAAGAAAGAGGGAAGAGTGGGACACAGTGAGGGACGACGGAGTGACTGACTGCTCGAGAGGAACACTCACATTGTTTTCGTGATTAGTTGCTTGCTGTGTGCTTCTGTGTGTTTTTGTTTCCCGCTTGGCTGCAGCTACAGAAAAAAAAAAGAAAAACCTGCAATGGAGATTTTATTATCATATTTGAAACTTTTTCTATTTAGGTGATTCTTGTCATTTTTGATAGCTCAATTCTCAAAGGCATGTGTGTATGATTCATATTAAATTGGAGAGCTATCATGGTCAGGTCTCATCCTGGCTGTTCCAACCTGGACGGAAATGCAACGTTGGAGAGAAACACTGAGTCTTTCTTACTTTTCTGGCATGAAAATATTCAAATTCAAAAGATACTGGCACAAACACCAGCAGCTTGAATCCCAAATAAGCAGCACTGGGTGTTGAATACCGGCAGGGTGATAGTGTGTGTGTGTGTGTGTGTGTGTGTGTGGAGATGTGGTTTATTTTCTTGAGTGCTTGGCTCGATGCGCCACTGGCTCTGTGTGAATGAAGTCGAGGTGGTTTGGCCGACTCTGTCGAGGTGAAGCTGTCCAAGATTCAGTGCTGGAGGCCATGAGGCATACACAACCTCACTTTGTACTTGATATACACACACACACACACACACACACACACACACACACACACACACGCCTACTCCAAGCTGCTGTCCCTGTGGTTTCAGGGCTCCCAGGGTCAAGGTGCAGCACCCAGATAGAGTGGGAAACAGGGATCTAATCCAGTAGGGAAAGTGGACCTGTGGGTGTTGGACGAGGATGCTTGTGTTGGACCTATTTAACACTCTGCCCACCCTTGCGCTGCATTCATGGCCCTGTGACCCAGATGGCTCCACAGAGCAACTGCAGCCGAAGTTGCAGCAATCACCCCGTTCTTTTACAAAGCGGAACAGTCGATGTTCTCGGTTCCAACACACAGTCCGTGATTACCGGTCTAGTAGAAGCTGTGCTCGATTGGGTCAGTGCTTATTCAAGAGGATTTGTGTGTGCTGTGCGCAATCATGTTGTGCACTGAGCTCGATACCATATTTCATCTGTGTTGATTGCAGAAATTGTGGTGGAACATATTGTAATGCTGATCAAATGGCTCGGAAAAAAAAGGGCAAAGTGGTGTTCTAATTAGTGTCAACAGCACTGAGAGAGAAAGAGAGACGGCTCTGGCAGTGTCTTTGGCTGGAGGCTAGGACCAGTCTCTCCAGTCTCCCAGTGATTCACAAACAGATGGTTTGTTTTAGGAAATAGATTTCTCCTCTTGAGTTTCCAACAGAGTAATGCACCACTGCCAATTAATGAAAGGCAGACGAGTGCAGCCTCCCCGAATGCGTCCTTATCTGGACGTGTGATCCAACCTCTGCATTGAAAAGAAAGAGATAAATACTATAATCCCTACACTGTGATAGCGGGGTAACAAAGCTCTGCTAGTAGATAAGATAGTTGTTATTGTAGCGTGATTTATTTTCATGATAGCTTTACGTTGTGGGAACTTCTGGGATGTACTGAATGAAGTTTAGTTTGTCAAGAAGGGGGCTGACCTAGTTTTTCATCCTACATTGGAACCCAGATTGTCAACCTCATTAATCAGACACCCTCTCTGTCCCAATGGTGGTTTCGATTTCAAATGATTTCATTGTTGATTATCAGTTTGTATTTTGCTATCCCACTGTGGGTACATTTGGGTCTGTTGATCTTTTTGTTTGGTCCAGAGTGAAACATCTTCAAACAACTTCAAACAGATGCTGGCAAATTGACTCGTACTTGGCTTCCCTCATCAGACTGCTAGAATGATGCTCAGTTCTCGGAAATACGACATTTAAAAAAAATACCTGAACAACCATTGGATGGATTAGCATGAAACATTCTTGGTTCCCAGAGAACAGACCCTCTGGCTGCTGCCGTTCAGCTTCAAACATTCCGCCTAAGAGCCTATGTACATTACAAGGTGAGGTTGAGCTACAGGCCCACTTGGGTCCCAATATCTCAGACCCGAGACGGGACCTCATTCGGGCCGTGTCTGAATTATATTCAGTCCAACTGGATCAGGAAGGGCGCCCTTGTATTGGTTTGGGGTGTTTGTGTCATTTTAACACTTTGCTACCAAGTTGATGCAACATTTCTGAAAATGTGACTGTACTTGTCAGGGCTCTAGACTAACGGCGCCCCCGTCGTCCCGGGGGACCGTAGAACGTTTTCCTTATAAATCCTACATTGTGAACAGCAAAACCCTGTTGAAATTGGCTGGAGGAAAGCTAGCTGATGTTAACTGTCAGCAGCTGGTGAGCAGCACAGTCCTGATTGGCTAAATAACGGAGCTAATCTTTGGGTTGAATCTTATCTAATTATCCTCTGGTCTGTTTGAGCACAATCTGACTGTCCTTGGCGTCCTTTGCACCGTGTAGTTGAGTAGGTTTTTCATGCGTCTGTTTCAGACCAAGCTCTAGTTGGATTTGTGAAAGTTGAACTTTGAGCAACCGAGTCTGACAAATGTAGAGCTGAGCTAGACCAGCTGAGTCCGTGATGTCCTAAAATGACCACCATGCTGAGGATAAATCCTTTCATTTAGGGAACAACATGACCTTTCTCTTAATGCCAGACTCAGGACAAATTTTACCGTCTTTTTTACACCACAGTATAAAGATAAAGATCTTCATTTTTCATCCATCCAGCAATCTAATTTTACAGTTTTTCAGGAAGTTAAACCCTTTAGTTTGAGGGCACTTTTTGTCCCAGACAGCAATTTCAGCAAGAATCTGGAGAGCAAACATGGCTGAAAATACATTTTAAAAATGATTTAAATACTAATCTACTATATTTGTACTGTATGATATTGCACTGACGTGGCTATGAAGGAGTTTGAAGATCTGGGTAGTCTTTATTGTGTTTTAAGGTAATGAATCATAAGCTGAATGAAATCTTGTTTGGCTCATCGTCACATGACCAAAGTCAAAATATGATAATCTATTTTCAAGTAATATTCCCTCATTTGTTTCTTATCTTCTTGTCATGTGAGATTGCTTCTTCAAATATATTTACAATAATAGCCATAAAGTGCCCGAAGTGTATTCCAATAGTTTATTTCCTGGTGATTTAAATTCTCTGAAGACTGTTACAATTAACAGATTGACAAACATCTCTGGTCAGTATAGATCCCTCTGCTCTTCATTGACTCTCTTACTCAAAATCATTAATGTTAAACAGTTACGTATAAGGGGCTAAGAGGACGAGAGGGAAGAGACTAAGAGAGAGAATACTACTTTATGATTTTATATAAAACAGCATCTCACTGCAGTAAATCTAGTCTGTGTACTTAGTTTCTACTTCAATTCAATTGCAATGTTATTGTATTCATTTTTGAGCGAAATCCGCTGAAGTGTCGCTAGTTTAATGGAGGTAATGATACCAACACAAAATGCTGACATTGTCGAAACAAAATCAGCATTCAGAGCAGCTGGGCTGAAGAATGTCAAAGATGGAAGGTTCTTCAGTTCATCCAACACTTACTGTATGTCCAGAGCAAAACCACCCGATAGCTGTTATTCAGCCATGAAACATTATCAGGATATTCAATGTAGTTTAGATGATGCTCCTGATCTTTGCTTTAACACACAAAATATCTACATCTAATATGTAGATTTGCCATAACATATTGGGTTACATTTAAATTACATTACATTTACTGTACATTACACACATTTCTGTTATTTGTTTCTTTTGTATTATTTTATTAATTTGATTGCCCTAATTGTTAAAATAAGAATGAAGGCCAATGAGCAACTGTCAAATGGTTAGAATTTTCTAAATAAATGAAAAATAGTTGAGTGAAAACGTACCGAACCGTGACTCTAAAACGCTTGTTGTGTAGCTTTACAGCTCTATAGGCTTTATTATGTCAAAAAACATCATATTAGCTGATTTATTGCTCTCAAGCATTGATATTAGCCTGGCTTTAATCTACTGGGCACATTCATGCTTCCCAGGAGCTGAACCCTTTCCATTTTGGACACACCTCAAGCTTTTATCTAACACCACCATCAGGACAAAATATCAACTCTGATACTCCAGATATCTTATAATGCAGGGGTTTTCAAAGTCTGACAGTGCCACCACCACCCCAGACTAAAAAGAGACAACTGTCACTTTTATTCCTGTATTTTGTTTATTTTCTAACGTTCTGTACCATCCATTTTAAAAAGCACTGGTCACCAAACACATACTCATGCACACACACACCCAAACCCTTTCAGCCAAAAGTGACACCGTGACTACCACAGACACTAAGGTGCATAACAGGATGCTGCATCCGTCTGACAACCAGCAAATGTTAGCTAACGTCTGACAAA